TTTGCACTGCCTGTCTCCAGATGATCTCTGTATCTTCTGTATCTATTTTGCAGCTTGTTCCCAGAACTGAACAAAGTACTCATGCCGTACCAAATAACCAACCTTTGGGAATTACAATATTTCCAGACTGATTTTTAATTTCCAACTAGCATTTTGTTCAACAGTGATGCACACTGAGCTTTCCACAGTAATGCCAGGACTTTTTTTCTGAGCAGTTGCTCTCATGATTATGGCCCCACTAGGTTATATGAGTGACCCAAAATATGCCATCTAGTGTCATGCTAACCCAGCATTAATCCCTTTGTCTACCTGGGTGTTTATTCAGCTCCTTAGGTTAGGCTTCCCTTTACTGTCTCTGAGGCTTTTCAACAGTAAGCAAAATTTAATAACAGTGTGAATTCTGTATGTTGCCACATCATTCTACCCCTTTCTGGATCAAAAATATTAACTAGCCCTTTTAATTTAGGTGTTCCCTCGAGATGGCATGTAGTCACAGGAGGCCATTAGGAGTTTAGATTTGGGATGCATCTACACTGCCCCACACAGTGAATACAAACACCTTGGGACATGTCTGTAATGGCCCAACCAAGGGATTGTCTGTTTCCCAGCAGGATCCTTCCCAGCTTTGTTTTCAGTGGTTGTGGTATCTCAGTACAGCAGTGCATGGTGAAGGATGGCCATGAGCCTAGCCATGTTGGAAGTCAACCCCATCGTAGTCATATTTGCTTTCTGACAGTTTTGAATGCTCAACAGTACTTTCACTCCCACCACAAACTTGAGTAGAAGCCTTTATAAACTTCTGATAATTATTTTGTTAAATGGTCAGCTGCAAGTCTGGATATACGTACACATACTTGATTTTCCTTATGCCAGCAGCTGCGCAGTGTGGTTAAAAATATATATATAGAAATAGGAAGATTGTGAATCTGAGCGTGCCCCAGATACCACAGACCTGGTAACTACAGTGCTCCCTCTCAAGCCCTCCTCACCTCAAAAAACTTTTGGTGTCCCTCATCCCTGAAAGCCACTTTGAGCCAGTGCTGCTGCTGCAGTGGCTCTGCCCATCTGGAGCTGCCTCTGAGAAGCAGCCAGCAGAGATGGGAAAGGCCTGTGTCCTTTTGGCACTCCAGTCCTTCTGTACTGCTGCAGCCTTGTCTCCTCAGGACATCCAGAAATCTCAAGCAATGGTTTAAAATATGCATTTCTTCCCAAGGTGGAGAAAAAAATGCTCTGGAGAAAGCATATTTTCCTTTTACAAAAGACACAGTCTACAAGTTCATCCCCTATTTTAGCATATTCATGTTTTATTGCTTCCTTCAATTATCACTTCAGCTCATTTTCCATGTTCCAAAGTCCCTAATTTCCAAAAGGACTGCTAGCCTATAGACACAGAAAAATGGTTTTGCACTGTCTCCCGTCAGAACAATTATTACAATTATTACATTATTTAAAATTTATATTACACATATCTAAAAGGCTGCAATTAAATTAGGTCCCATTGCACTTGCCACAATCCAAATGTGTAACTAATGGCATTTCAGGCCCTCAGAAAAAACATTTAATTTTAAGGTAAACTCCTCAGGGCAGAAATTACCCATATTTTTGTTCTGTGGGAAAACAGTGCCTGGTGTTGGTGCAGCCTAGGCTGCAACACAATCCTAATAATAATTGTAATGATAATTACTGTTAGTATTAAATTATGTTACTTCAGTTTTATCACAGCTTACTCCTATCTTTTGTTTACATATGATGTGATAAGAATGTGTGTCATTTCTTCAGCTGAAGGAATCTTTATGCAAGGTTTTGGTGCTGGTTAAGGATACTTTGCTCTGCTTCCAGGGAACAAATAGGCAGGCAGAATAAGTGTTTGGTGGAATGAATGGTGCTCAGAATAAGGACAAATGGTGAAAGAGAGGGGACACTATCAAAGGCTGTTCTGCTCCACATGAATGTTAACACTTGTCCAATGTCCCAGGATGAATTCCTTCAGTACACTGAGTTACTGGAAAAAACCCACTGCACTGAGAAAGACGCACATGTTACTGCTGAGTCAGAAGATGGCCATGGTCACACCAGCACACATTCTTTTCAGTGTTTGGTTTTGGGAGGTTTGTCACCCTACCCCAAAGAAGTAGATGCTCCTTAAAAATTGCTGCCAGAAGGAATTCCAGATGTAGATTTTAAACATATTGTCCTTAAGCCAAACTGGGAGATATAGGGACAAAATGTCAAAATGCAAAGGCAGGATAGCTTAGTGTTAAAATGTTACAAACTGCAATTGCTGATTTAGTACTGATTTATTACTGCAATGCAAGGGTTTAATATTTGTATGTTTCATTCCCCTCTCTGTAAGTGTAGAATTATTGTGACTGCCAAGCAACAACTTGGCAGGGTTGCAGTTAGTGCCCTACTCTGTAAATGCTATTGCAAAAGTTAGGTTCCAAATGACATTAAGCCAGTTAAAAATTCAAGCAGACTTAAAAAAAAAAAAAAAACAAACCAAAAAAAAAAAAACACCAAAAAAAGCCCCACACAGTAAAACACTTTACAAGCACTAGAACAGTGACCTGGCTAAAGTTTTGTCGTTTTGTCCTAAAGATACAGGTGATGTCCATCTGTCCATCTACAAAAATGGCTCATCGCTGTGAGTAAAATATCATTGCAACCTCGATAGGAAAAATGATCTAGATGGCATGGATATCTGAAAAATGCTAAGACATGTCCAATTAAGTTTTCCTGTAAATCCTTTAAAATATCACCCAATTGTCTCAACTGCTCCTTCTGGAAATGCTATTCTTTACCGTCAGCCTGGAGAGGGAAGTGTTTAAAAGCTTGTGTGTAAAACTGCATTGATGATTAAAAGCCCCAGGAACACATGAAAGGATATCAGTACTCAGGTGCTTTGTATTAGTGAAGGCAAGATAGTAAGCATGCCTTTCCTACCATTTTTCTGTCCCTTCCTGTTTCCACCTGGGAGAAAATGCTATGAATTTATTTTGTAAGAAAAATGAATAGGCATTATAGCAACAGCCTTGCTTTCTCGCTGTCAAAATAATGACCATTTCTTTTAGCAACGTTTTCATTGCTCAGCTTTCTTTTCTAAGTGTATCTTAAGTTAAAAAGCATTCTACACTCTTCCAAAAGAATTTAGATTATGAAATGCTTTCCAGTTTTTAGAGGGTTTTTGGGTTTTGAGGTTTTTTTGAAATCATATCTATTATGAATATTGACATTCCATTTGATTAAAAGGATCTGAGCACCCTTTTATATCAGATAAAATAGGCAGAATTTCTCCTATGCTATGAGATCCAGGATACTGCAGATCTTTCACTTCTCTAGTGTTACTTTTTCCTCCTCAAAGCAAGCAAATTCACTATAAGGTAGAACAAACAAACAAACAAAAAATAAGCTCTGCTCTGCCCTGGCTGGATTTATATTACTTTTTTTCTTCTTTTTTAACTCTTGAATTGGTATTTAGCATGCAAATTAGGTAGATAAATGTGTGGTGAGCCCCTGTCTTTCATACCCAACCTTCTCTCTCCCTCATTTGTGCCACCATTGTCATTTGGCTGTGTGATGGCCTGCCAGCAGCTCTGCTGTAAGCTGGGCTGCTTTGTGAAGAGCTCCTGTGGGGGTCTTTCTTGTCTTTGGCAAACTCTTCATAAAGAGTATTTTCTGCAGTGTGCCAGCAGCTCTTGGCACAGATTCATCAGCTCACAGTGACTTGCAGTGTGGATACTTAATAGTCATCCCCTGTAGCTTGGCAGTAGCTGAGATGGATAATGCAGCCTCCAAGTTGCTCCTTCCATGTTAGGCTTCTTCTGTGTGGCAAACTCGGAAAGTCCAATTTAATCAGTATAAACCAGGGAAAGAGAAAAGGGGAGATCCATCTTGCACTTCAAAGGATGTTTTGTCAACTTTACTACTATTGAGAGAATAAGAATGTTTCAGGCAGAGAAATTAGGAGAGGATAGATCCAACAAGCCGATACCGCTGAGCCTTCAGTGCAGGAGGAGGAAACGAAGAAGAACGGAGGAACTGCCTCAGCTTTTGTCAGTCATGTCAAGCAGGGAGAAGGATGTGAAGATGGGCGTCCCTGACGCACCATAGGCTGTTGCTGTAGGAAAACATGCCACTCCCCAGACTCAGGATAACCCTAAATCTCAAACATGTCAGGACACAATGATATCCCCCACATACCGGGCTACTTCACCCTAATCCATTTTCAGCCTTTCCCTCCTCTTCCTTCCAATCACCCATGCTTACCTTCCTGTTTGCAACACATAGGACAAGTGCTTCAGCTCCTCAACCCTTAGGACCTGCTGCATAACACTAAATGCTCTGCAGAAAAACCCCGTGGCACCCTTGGATCATGAGCTGCTGTCCAGAGGGGTCCCAGAAGCAAGTTCCCACACAAAAGCAATTCATCACCTGAGGATGTGGAGCTAAACCACTTTCACAAAATGAAAAACTGTTGTTAAAAATTTGGTCCGGGCTTTGTGGGGTTTTTGTGGGACCAAACAAACTGCAAAGGCAGGAGGGCAGCAGTGAGAGTGCAGGTCAGCTCCCATGGTTATTTCGTGTCATAGGTGCTCCCTGGGTCCCTGCTGCCGTGGGATCCCTTCTCGGAGTGCGAATGTACCTCTGCGTGTGTTTTGGGGACAAGTCTCCCAGAGGAGGCGGAGAGCCGGGACGGGGATGCTCTGAGCCGAGATACCACATCCTAGTCCGAGGATGCAGCCGAGGTGAGGGCGGCGAGGCGTCCTCCCAACCTCCGGCCGGGCTGGGCGGTGCCGGGGGCCGGCTGCAGGCGGAGGAGGAGGAGGAAAAGGCCAGGATATTCCTGAATGAACGGCTCGCTCCTCACCCCACACCTCCGCCCGGCTCCCGCCTCCCTCCCGCCACTCGCCGGTGTCTCTTCGAGGCGCAGCCAGTTTCTATAGCGACGGCGCTGAGCCGCGGCTCTTCCGAGTAGTAACAAAGCGGCCGCCCGCTGCCGCGCCGGGGCTGCGGGGGGAAGCGGCTGCCGCTGCCGAGGACACCCGACAGGTACGGAGCGAGGGGTGCCCGCCCCCGGCCGGGCCGGGCCGGGCGCTGCTGCCGCCGGGGGGCGGCTTCAGGAGGGACAGCGGCTCCCCGCGGGTCCAGCGGCGGCCGCGGGGAAAGGGGGCGACATCCGTCCGTCCGTCCGTCTGTCCGTCCGTCCTTCCGCGCGCTCGCCCCTGTGTCAGCCGAGGGACAGAGGGGAGGACTGCGGGAGGGCTGCCGCAGGTGCGCCCCGGGTGCCCCTTCCCGCGGGCACCGGGACGGGGCGGCTGCCCTCGGGTACCCCCCGGCTGCCCTCGGGTACCCCCCGGCTGCCCTCGGGTACCCCCCGGCTGCCGGGGAGGCGCCGGCACGGGCGGGCTCCGCGCCCCGGGTGGCAACCGGTGGGCTCGGCTCGCCCCTCTCCGCCGGGGACAGCGCTGCTCCTCGTCCTTACGGTTACCCCTTCATAGTAATACTGATAATTTCGCTGCTGTTGTTGTTGTTGTAAAAAATATGACACCCCCCCCCCCCCTCGAAATTTACGGGTTACAGAGTTTCGTTTCTTCAGGTTTATAAAGTAATGATGAATAGGGTGATAGGCTTAAAATGCGCTACTGAATTAAAAAAAAAAAAAAAAAAACAACAAAACAGCAAAGATGTAAAGGATTGGTGTTGTAGAGTAAACAAGACAATTACTGCTTGTTTTTAGGAGTAAGTGTACGGAAAGGTTTTAGGTAAAATGAGTGTAGCTTTCCGAGTCAGAAGGCTAAGATGGTAGAGGTGACAAACGTTTGCTTGTCTTGGGCGGCCAAGGTTAGGCACGAATAAGCGTCTTCACCTCCTGAGATACGAATGTCAGACTGGATGGGAAGGTCATTAGCAGGTCATTAGCCTGAGCAATGCTTGTGGTGACTGTAATCAATAGCATCCGAATGGTAGTGACTGTGTGAATAGACACGGGTTTCTGCAGAAGTTTAAAATTCAAAGGAACTTCCTGATGATGAAAGAAGGCTGACCCCGCATGATGAGGTCCTAGGGAGCAGTCGTTGTTCATTGCTGAGTGATTTAGGAAATAAACGAGATCGTGGGCCAAAGCAAAATTGTGCTGTGACATGTAAGCAGCCAGCAGCACGTTCAAGATGGGAATCTTCCTGGCTGTGAACAAGGGTAAAAAGGGAAATAGTACATGAGATGAGGACACGGTGACTGAGGACATAGTTATTGAGTAGGTGGACAAGAACTGACATTTTAAGTAATATGTAATCTAAATATCAGATTATTTGAGATTGAAAACACTATACATAATGTAATATCAAATGTGGTATCAAACCTCAAAGGCTAAGAATTGACTGGAAGAAGTTTGAGAAGTGTATAAATGAAATGCTGAGTGAAAAGTGGAGCTACCTGTACCATTAGGTAAATGATGTGAAAACAGTGGAAAGAGAAGATACAGTTTATCAGCAATCATGAATACAAGTAGAAAAGAAAATGGAGACAGACTTCTCTTGCAAGAGATGTATAAATAAAATGAAGTTTTAAATGTGTGTTGATCAAGTTTAAACTTTCCTCAATACAACATTTAAATCAGTATTATAATAATAATATGTGGACTGGAATTCTAGGGGTTTTCTTTTAGAAACATTAGTCACAAAAAAAAAGATAAAAGAGTGGAATTTCTTAGATATGTGGATTGCAGTGGTTTCCCCAGTGTTTATAATTGGTTGTCCTTCTCTTCTTTCAACAGTGTCACAACAGTTGTTTTGCTGAGTTATAACCTTCTGAATGACCTCTGTTTTTCATGCAGCACTGGAAAGCAAACTCTTGAGTTCATAAAATGTGTAAAAATGTAGACCTCAGATTAGTTTAGCATGATGGAAAATAGCATTTCAAGACCTCACTGTGGACTACCTGAAATTGAATGCACTTGCAGGAAATAAAAGGTCAGCTGTATAATAAGGGCCTGGACACTTCTACTCCCATAACTGCATGGCAGAGAATGAGAAGCATCAGAACTCAATATCTTGCCTTAAAAGTGAAAGGGATAAGCAAAATATTTATGGTTTTGCTGCCTTGTGACATTTCAGTCCCAAAATTGTTCCTTGTGGAACAATTGCAAACTCCACTAGACAATGTTTATCAGTGGAAAAAATGTAGTAGTTGAGGCAGTACCAGGAAAGAATGCAGTAGTTCAGTACAGATAATACACCCCATAAAATAGCCTGACATGCATAAGGGCTTCTAGTGGTCAACAGTTCTAGCCATTAGATCACAGTCCCTCAGACTGTCATTTCACACCTTTCTGGTGCTCCTCAGTCTAGACTAGGTTTTTAGGAAGCCTGTTGTCAAGTTTTCTTGAAAAGCATCATCTAAGTCTGTGCACTCTGTGCCTTGGTATAAGGCCACTGCAGGAGTCTGCTTGCCGCTATTCCTCTTGCTGTGTTCAGTCTTAATATTTTTATCTATATCCTAGTTTGATGACTTGCTGTTAAGTATTTTTTCTGGAGAGATGTACATGTGCTTGCTGTAGCCAGCAGCTCTTTCAAGTGTACAGGGAGACTTAGCACCTGCTGCCTGGAGGCTGTGATTTCAGTCCTCCCAGCAAGGTTGCTAAGGAGTACTAGGGATCCTTGGAGAGCAAAGCTCAGGAAATTCTCCTGTGGCCTTTGCACACATTGTGTGCTGAAGCAGTGCCTGTCCAATATAAACTACTGTTCTGACAGTAATATAGTATGACCAGATGTGTACCTTATGTATCACACTGTAACATAAGATAATTGTGACTTTCTAGTAAAAACAAAACATCTGCGAGTGTGAAAATGCTGTGATAAACTGCAAAGAGCTCAGGCCTCTTCAAAATGTACCTTAGGTTTAAAATTCATTTGCAAAGACAAATCAAGAAGTACAAGATGTGCAGCTTTTAACCTACTACAGCTCTACGCTTTTTAAAACCAAATCCTGTGTGTTTCATTCAAAATGTTTTTTCCTGCAGATGATGCAGCACAGCATTTTAAGCACAATAAATGCCATAATTCAACACAACTTTCCTTTTCCTATTTTATTTTTTCCAATGAATGGATACTTCAGTAGAAGTTGAAATAACTCAGCAGCACTTTAAGTTTAGTCCAGATAGCATGAAAAGATGAGATGTTCCAGCATCTCTAAAGCATTGAGCAGAGACTTCAAATCCATTTAGGTTCTGTCTGATCTCTCTTGCCATTTCCAAGAAATTTAGCCAAAGCGTTACAAAGCTGTAGTTCTCTGAAAGACTCAGGTTCACAAATGTTTTGTATATATTGCATTTTGAAAATAACATCTATAAAGATTACCACCACTAGTGGTAGTTCAGAAATTGGAGAAAGGAATAGGGACAGACTGTCTTATCTCCTAGCTTTTCTACAGCAGCTTGGAATTGCCCAAGCAATTCCTTTCTGCAAGTTACCTTGCAGAAAGGTGGCCTTGTAGAAAAGAAAGCAGTGTGACAATCTGGTTTTGAGAATAACTGTAAGGAAACCTGATGGTGTATGGGGCTGTAGTGAGAAGAAGGGGGTGGGAGCTGATGTGTAGCCCATGATGCAGACTTGGCCCTGGAGTCAACGGGCATGGTGGGAGGGTTACCTGGGACTGGTATGAGGAGTCAGGTTGAGACATGACTCGGACTGGGACAGGAAAATCTGGTGTTAGGGTGTGTGCATCAATTCCTCCCAGCAGATGGCCCAGCTCAGGGCTGAAGGCTTCTTTTAGCCCCCCTTTGTAAGCCTTCAAGGCTGTGTTGGCCATATCCACGGCAGAAGGTGTTGGTCAGAAAACCCAAACCTTTCCATAATAGTTTCAGGGCAGGTGTTGTTCCAGGCAGGGGAACTGATCTTGGCAGGCAGCACATGGCAAAGAAAGAAAACTCCCATTTCAGATGGATAGCCAGTCTGTACTCAGGCAGGAGATGTTCTCCTGTGAACAGAAAGAAAATATTCCCCCCTTGGTGACTCACAAACAGTGACCTGATCAGACTCTGCTTGAAAAAGTATCTGACCTTGAAGCTTCTGCTGTGGAATAGCTTTATGTGAAAGTATGGCTTGACCACTGAGGAGCTACAGTGCAGGTGTTTACCAAGAACTTGCAGATGCCATTTGCCTCCCAATACATAATAGGGAGACCTGGAGTATTTCTACAGAATACTTCCACAGAAATATTCTCTGTTAAAAACCAACATACTCAAAACTCAAGCTGATACTGGCTTTCCACTCTTTAAACAATTCCTACAAGTAATTCTCAAAAAAAGCTTTAAAAGGCTTACCAGTGTTTCTACCAATATTGAAAATATTTAGTTTATTCGGCTAGAATTTTATAAATATCTTAAGCAGAAATTTTGAGTAGTGTTTGAATCACCAGGTGGAGTGTTGTATAACGTGTGTGTAATGAGGGCTTTTATCTTCCTGTATCTTTCAGTTCACTGAATTACACTTCTATGCTGTTAAAGTGACAGCTAAATGAAAGTTAAAAAAATAAACAGTACTGTTTGGTGCTAGGTTCAAATGGTACAATAAGTGAATTGCAGGGCCACAAATTATACAATGAGAATAAACCAAAAAAATCATTAAATAACTGCCGACTATACTGCAAACTCAGTGAAGCTTCCTGTGGAAGAAAATGATGAGTAATTTTATGACTAAAACTGTATTGTAAAATATATATTCAGTGGAATGCTGATGTTTGGTAAGGCTCTAGTACTTGGATTTGCTTTCAGTATATTACAGATATTTTACTGTGTCCACTGAATCAAAGAGCACTTTTGTAGCTCATGCTTATTCCTGTAATCAAGTTGCCTCTCATTCTCTGACAAACTAAACAGATTGAGCTCTTTTAAGCTTTCCCTTGAAGGAGATTTATTCAGCTCCTGAATATTTTTTTTGTGACTGTCTCACTGTTCCTGTGAGAAACTGTCCAAACTGCTCATAATCCTATAAAGATTGTGAACATTGTGACTGTGCAAAATACCTTAGTTTGACTCCCACCACTGCCAAAAA